AGGACCCTATGTGTATTTTTAAGTCATTCGTGGCCAAGTCTCTTCATTTCTGAGGTCTCCATATCACTTTTCAGGGAGAGCAGGGATCTCAGGCCCTTTCAGAACTAGCCAGCAAACCCACAACTTAGCAAACTCTAACTTCACTCCAAAAGACAAATTCCCTAAGGAAAAAGAACAGCCAATAAATAAACCCTTCAGACAGAAAAGGGCCAAGCATCCAAGAGATTCCGGATGGTGTTTCTGGAAATGTTCCACTTTAGGTTTAAAAGAAAACTTTTGAAATGATTAAGTTATTTAGAACCTCAATATTCCAAAGTTTGAGAAGCTAACACACTGAGAAATTTAATTTAGATTTCCTTAACACATTCTCTCATGATAAGAGAGCATTCAGTATATCAGTATATAAATGCTATGCAATAGGACGGCCAAATTGCAACACAGAATGGGAGAAATTTGTCATTTTGAAATGCTAAGGGAATTCTTACTAACAGCTTTCTCATCTTGTAAAGCTATTATTTTCCTGAACGATAATATGATTTATAAATCTCAGCTGAGTTTTATACTTTTGATGTGAACAGACTTAAAGTGAAATGTATTTTCTCAGAATATAAAAGAAACATCTTCTGCAACCAAGCGTATCAAAGTCTTGGTCTCTGCTGGCATATCGGCAGGTGAATGATGGTCGTCTTCAGAGTTCTGGGCTTAGCTTAACTTCTTCCTCTGTACACTTTGCCTGGGTGACATCAGTCACTCTGAAAGCTTCAACGTTTAATTCTGCCTCAGCAACCTCCGTATCCACACTCCCCACCCCTCACCTCTCTCCTGAGCTACAGGTCCCTCTGTCAAACTACCACGCGACAGACCACCATCATATCCTACAGACAGCTCAATCTCCAGTTCTCTCCTCTGCCCCAAACCCTGTTTCTTCTCCCAGTGCTGCAGTGATACTAATGTCTATAGAAATAAGGAAGATACAGTTCCCGCTCTCAAAAATCGAATAATCTCACAGGAGATAGGAAAGTAAACAGGCAATTACAAGGTAAGTTAATCAGCGCTGTGGTAACAGAAACCCAAGAGGCTGTGGTTCTCATAGAAAGAGCACCTGGTCAAGAAATCAATCTTAAAAGAAGTAACATCTTATGAGTTAGGTAACTGAAGTGTGTGTGTGTGTGTGTGTGTGTGTGTATGTGTGTGTGATGTGGTATGTTGAGGAGTCATGAGGAAGGACAAAAAAAGTCCCATGGACAGAGGCCCAGAGGTATAAGACCATATAAGACATGGCTTGGATAGAGTACTCAGGAAAGACGGGAGAGGGATAAGACCAAATCATCAGGGCCAGGTCAGAACAAGCCTTGTATCCCACCTTTGATGTGCACAGAGTTTGCAATCCAAAGGGCATGATACAGAGGACTGACCAAGCACAGGCATGGAGATGTATGCTCAGGCTGTTCATGGTGATCCTGACCCATGCTCCAGGCAGGCCCACCAAAATCTCAGTTCTCCAGAGCGTGTTCCATGAGATGATCCAAGGAAAACAGAGCCAAGGAAAATTAATTTGGAGTCACATTTCATAACACTTACCTCACAGGGCAATTGTGTTTTTTATACCCGATCTTTAATCCTTACAAGCATTCTGAGCCTAAGACAAACCAAGGACTTTGGAGGCAGACAGAAGGAACTGCAGAATGTTAGGCATGTCCCTTTGACCTCTGTCATCCTCACCTGGAAGATAAGAGTGAAAATTGCCACAAGGCTTCATCTTACTCCTCTGAAAACAAGAGCATTTTTATAAGTTTGCCAGACTTGACCCAATGTGACATGAAGCTCCTTATAGTTTTATTTATCCTCTTAGTATAAATATTCTGACATTTTTTGCTGCAGAATATCGATGTTTGATTAGGGGATGTTAATGGCATACTGCCATCTTAACTTCCTAATATCTGAAAAATTCAATTCAAAAACACATTTCTCACCCAAAGGTTTGGGGTGAGGAATTTGAGGACCCGTAATATATGTAAAGTGTGAGATATATGTGATAAGGTACATAAAGGGCTTATCTCATATATCTCATATATTTTTATACCCGATCTTGAGATAGCACAAGGACTAGCAGGCACAGTATAAGGGCTCAGAAATTATAACTATTGTCAAAACGAGAGAGGGAGCCACCTTAGACTTTAGAAAACAAGGGATGATGGAAACTGGAACATCTTCTAGAAAATACATGTTATCTGTCTCTGGCCTCCGAAATTTTTACAATCATATTTTTGGAAAATTTGGGGATAATTTAATTTTTCTTTTTTTTTTTATCCTCACCTGAGGACATTTTTATATTTATCTTTCAGATAGAGCTGGAGGGAGAGGGGGGAAAGAGAGAGGGAGAAACATTGATGTGAGAGAGATACATCGACTGGTTGCCACCCACACGATCCCAACTAGGGTGGAGACAAACTGCAACCGAGGTACATGCCTAACTCAGGACTCTGGCCAATGACACTCTAACCACTGAGCAAACTGGCCAGGGAACAATTTAATTTTTCAAAGTGTGGTCATGCTTTTAAGCCATTGGCTTTACCACTGTTCTTACATTCATAGCAGGAAGAAGAAAATTTAAAATATTTGTTACAGACGCTAGCAATGGCAGGTTTGGGGAGATTCTGGAAGAGGAAACAGCATGATCAAGGGCCTGGTAGAGTAGAGGAGGTGTTCAGACACGGGGCGTAAACTTCTCAAAGTCTGGAACCCAGGGAGCATGGCACCAAAGAGCAATACGTGAAGCCAGAGGAGTGCTTGGGAGAAATTTTATGAAAAGTCTTAAATACCATAGTAAGGGGTTTTCAAACTATTTTGGCAAGAGAATTTTATTGAGACAACATTTGATTGGCGTGGGAGGTCTGTATACTGCAACCGTACACCAATCTGTTTTTACTCTATGGCCCAACTGCTTTTCCAAAAGAGCAAATCTGGTCATCTCACTCGTTAGAACACACTCTTCGAAGCTATCTAATCAAGCTTGGAGTAAAACGCCATCTCCTTGCAGGCTCAGGTGATATGGTGCTGCCCACTCTCCAGCTCACTCCATACCACCTCCCTGGCCTACCATTTGTAGGGTCTCCAATGAGCCCTGACCCTCCACACTTCAAGGATTTTACAAAGGAGGCCCTCTCCCTTGCTTCTCCCTCCCACTTGCCTAGCTAGCTTCTTCTCTTTCAAATCTATGCTTAGCCATCTTTTCTGGGGGGAGCCTTTCCCAGCTTGCTCAGGACTCCCTGTGTTATACTCCACCACCCCCTATGGACTTCTCCATTCAGCACTTAGTCACAGTTGTGTTAGATGATTAGGTGAGGATTTAGTTGTTTGACAGGTTCCCCCCACTGTACTGTAAACTTGGAGAATGAGAAGTGGCCCCATCTGTCTTGTTCACAACAGTGTCCCTGGCCAGTGTCTGGCCACTAAGGAGGCCTCCAACAACTATTTGTTGAAAATATACCAGTAAATACAAGAAGGCAGATGTGGCGGGGGTTGGGGGGGGTGGGGGGGTGGGCTGCTTTGGTTGAAATGAGGATAAAGCCTTTGGTTGAAGCAAGAATGTGGGGCCTGGAATACTTCCCACCAGGCCCTCTCCTTTCCTTCCACAGGGTTCCCTGAGGCCCTTCTCGGTGGGAAACACTTCAAAAAGCACTGTGGGATACTCTGACTAATAAAAGGCTTTGTTATCTGGTTTTAGGGTGAGAGTATGTATTCTCAAGAGTGTTCTCTTGGCCTGAGGAAACTTTCTGCTTGATGGTCAACAGAATGGATAAATGATTAAAGTAGCTTTGTGTAGACAGGAAGCATATTTCATTCATTTATTTCAACATCTTGTCTCCCTTGGGTGGGGAAAGACTATAAAAGACATATGTAGACTGATCTGAATTTTAGCCTTTTTTGCAAGACAGTGTAGAGTAAACGTTTCTTTGGAAAGTCATCTTGGCCTAGGCCCAGACCATCGAGAAAACTGCCTGTGTACTCGGCAGATCTATGCACACTTGGCCCCATTCCTGGGTGTGAGATCATGTGACACGGAGCAAACTGCCTCTATCACTCGTTTAGTGTAGTCAGCTGGGATTGAGTCAAGGCTCCCTTTATCTGTTTAATAGGGTAAATCAAAGTAAAAATTACCTTTTGATTGAGTAGCATTGCTGAAGAGAATCAATAGAAATAGCTGGCCCTCCACTGACACCCTCTCTACGTTAAGTGTAGTAGACTTTCAAATTACGGGAACTCTGGGTTTTGGGATTCAACTTCTGCGAAGCCAGCTAAAAATAAGCAGAGGGTGGGTTAAAGGAGAAGTAGCATGTCTGTGCGATCCTAATTAAAGAGAAAAATGTGCTGGGCAAAAGTAAGTCATTTTTCAACCTCAAAATATTCTTTCCAGATTCTAAGAGCCTGTGTTTGACATGTTTAAGAGAGAAGCTATCACAGCTGAAGTTGTCTTTGTTCACGATGCAAGAGACAGTTTTGCCTAGACTTTCAAGAAAGATATCGAATGGCATTTTCAGAACAAATCAAAATATATTTTTAAATTCCTTCTTTCCCCTTCAGGAAGAGGATGTGACAGGCTACTCTGATTTGAATTTGGTTGATCTACAAATGGCCTCAACAGTTTGATATGAACCTAGAGCAAAATTAACCACTGAGAAGAGTTTCTGAAAATGCTGTTAGTTTACTCTCTTACCTCAATATTAGCACCACCTCCACCACCAACACAATTATTAATGTTTATTAAGTGGTTTTGTAGGTTATGTGCTAAGCTCTTAACATGTGGTTTCTTATTTAGTTCTCATGGCAATCCCATGAGGTAGGTATTTATTGTTAATGTCGATTTCCAATGAAGAAACTGAGGCACAGAGAGTTGATGTGACTCACCCAAAGCCACAGAGCCATGGGTGGCCCCGCCAAGAACTGACATCCCTAAATCTGCCTCCCTCATCACTGCACTGTGTCTTCTTTCCCCACAGGGCCAGCATCGTACAGAAACGCATCATTTATTTTCAGGATGAGGGCTCTCTGACCAAGAAACTTTGTGAACAAGGTAAGAACATTGGGTGGGAGAGGGACAAATAAATGGAAGGTGGCCCGTTCTGTCCAAACATCTGGCCTCGGGAATTAAGATGACTGGGCTTTCTGAGTTCCTCCAGATCCTGCTTCCTCACGTAGCTCCAATTTTTAATCTGGCTGTGTGCTGTGGATAATTGGATCTGCCTTAAGCTCTAATTACCCAGCTTGATTCCCTGGGTAGGAGATAATGTACCTTATATTGGTGTCGTCTTTTTATTTTTGTGAAACAGTGATTATTCTGAAGAGGTTCCTTGGAATAATTCACAAGACTTAATTAAGGAGTGCACAATTGTGTCCCTTTAAGAAGTTTGTAATGGTTTTCCAGAATAATCACTAGCAGAAACTTGGGTATCACCGGACACTATGGGAGAATCTTCTCCAGGGAGGACCAGAGGGAGATGGGGTTACCAAAAGGGTATTGATCTTATGATTTCACCACATTCAATGATCTGGTCCTAAGATTTGCAAGTTCATTATCGCCCTCTCCATGGGTTGAGGGTGTTCTAACAAAGCCCATGCAGACAAAGCACAGAGGGGAAGTCAGAGCAGAGGCCTGGATTCAGATCTGACCTGGGTTTAAAGTCTGCCTCTGCCCTTCTTAGCCATCTAACTTAATATATGTAAAATAGTACCACGCCTCCTTGGCACATAGTAAACACTATATATAAGTATTAGTTATTGTTATCTATATCTGAAAACTGATGTATTAATCCACTATAAAAACGTATGACCTTAAACATCTGAATGTGTTTAGAAGTCATTAAAGAATTAATAAAAATAGAAAATGTTCTATAATTATACATATTTATCTCATTTCTATTCATTTTTACATAATTTTATTTGCATTTCAAGCCATTAGCATTTTGAGAAGAAATAATCCTCTCCAATTCTAGCAAATCATAAATTACTAAGAAAAAGAAAGGTTGATAAACATGTTCTAGGAAAATAACTATAGGTAATATTTTTTGAGTGCTTGTTACATGTCAGGCACTAGTCTAAGTACACACCTTAATCATGTTATCTACACAATGCTCTATGGTAAAAACCATTACATCATCCCTATTTTATAGATGAGCCTGAGGCACGAAAAGTTTGAATGGCTTTCTCAGCATCATACAGCCAGTGGTAGAGGGCAGAGTTTAAACCTAAGAGCCAATACCCTTAACCATTCCCTTTCAACCAAAAGGACAACCTCCCAGTTCAGTAGTGTGAATTGTTACCTTTGGTAGATCAAAGCATACTAAAGCATAGGTTTCCCTATAGATGAGCTAGAACAGAAATTAGGTCCTGTATGGGGGGAGGGTTGCATGCTGAGCATAGAAAGAACAACAGGGGAGAGTTTAGATACCCTGTATTAGGGCCATACCTGCCACAGGGGCCAGAGAGTAGAACCTGTGGGTCAGCACCCTGGTCAGCTTCCAAGTGGGCATCACCACACATGGCTTAGTGGCTTTTCTTTCCTCTAATTGTCCACATGATCACTCAGCTTTTCTCCAAACAGGGACCATCTCAACTGTTGAGGCTTTTGATTCCTAAATGGCAACCCATTCCTGCCCTGCCTCCACTGAGGTCCCGTGGGTTACAGTTGTGGGTTTTGTCGATCACACATGTACAGGCCACCTCTTGCTTTACACCCACAGATGGCTGATCACAACCAGTGGGGCCTGGTTTTGCTAGTTTAACTATCAGGGGACAACCTTTTTTCCCAGGTTTGAGGGTTCTTAGGAGACACTTGGCTGACACTCCCACGTACTGATAGTGATGCTTAACTAAGTGCACTTCCTGAGTCTCAGTCCCTGTCTAAGCCATGAATATGCTAAAATTCTTCAGATACAGTGTCAATAAAGTGACATTGCAAACCTCTATTGATATCACTTCTGAAGCCGAGATCCTATAGGCATGGATATGAGGAACAAACTGACAGAGGTCAGAGGGAAGGGGGATGGAAGGGACAGGATGAAAGGTGAACAGATTAGCCAAAGCACATATATGCATTGCCCCTGGGCAAGGACAACAGTGTGGTGATGGCCAGAGAGGGTGCAGGACTGGGTGCAGACGGGTAGAGTGGGGAGAAATTGAGGATATCTGTAACAGTGTCAACAATAACATTTTTAAAAATTAATATTGAATAAAAAAAAAAAAAAAAACTAAGCACACACCTGGATAAAAGCACAACTTTTTAATGACAAATTTATGGGGGGAAATGTTCCAGTAGGCCCTGGGTTGTAGGATCTTTAGGTACAGTTGTAGATGATCCCCGGAGACAGCAGATCCATGAGGAAATTCATCAGTTAGCAAGCCGATCATGTTCAGAAAGTCTTCAATTTATAAGCATAAAGCAAAGGAATTTTTCTTAAATGTGTATGCTTCATTATATCTAGCTCTTTCATTAAGGTCTTTACATCCTTTGCCTCTGTGGTGAGTCCAATCAAATAATCAAGGAAGGGGAGAGAGAAACGAGCATCTATTGTTTTTTCCCAGTATAAGCTGCTAATGCATAGGGGGAGAATTAAGAACCGCGCAGATAAAAAGCAATGGCAATCGTTATTTTTAAAAAGGAAACATGAAAGCATTGAGCTACTTACAATTAAGTGAGAAACATAAAATATTCAAAAAGGTGACCCATAATAAACATAGGCATCCACCCTCCGGCTTTAAAACCATGTCACAGTTCAAGGAGAGAGACAGGGAGAGGAAAAGACAAAGGGAAATGCAGAGAAGAGAGGAGAGATGGGAGAGAAGGAATAATGAGAAAAGGAAGAAAAAGGCAAGAGGAACGAAGAATAAAGGAGGAGAGCTGCAAAGGAAATTGCTGGATTGAGAGTAGAAACGGGGAGGGGCAGCTCAGAGACACTGCAGGGCCTGAAGCTGCCTGTAATTTTGCAGGCTGCTGTGGTTAGGAGAAGCGGGGAGCTGACACTTGTTATCGCTGCCCTTTGAAAACCTGGTTCATTTTCAATAGGTTTTCCCGCAGTAGGGAACAGTATGTTTCTTTCTAGTTTCAAACTTGGAAACTTATTTTTCAAGTGGAAGCTTATTTTCTGTTGGAAGTCCAAAAAATATATTATAAAGTGTATTCGCTTAAACTCCTGGACACATCTTTAGTTGACTACCCATAGACCTGAGAGCTCCCTTGATAAGGTAAAGCTACCGATGTGCCTTTTTTTGGTTTCTTGAGAGATTATTGCTGCCTCATTTGACAGTGCCGGGTAGTTACCATCGAAACCCCGGCATGTATGTCTTAGCTCTGGATTCCTGTTTCAAAACTAATTTCGTTTTTTCACAACATCATTGGTCATAATGGAAATGTAAAAAGCAAACAATCTTCAGGAGTGATTGATTTACCCTACCTTCCCTGAAATGTATTTAACAGGGCTTATCCCTTCACTATCAAAGCGGCTCACACAAGGATCAGGAGTGGGTTTCGTGTGCATAAGGCAGTGGGGAGCCGGCTCCTCAGCACAGACAAGGTTCTGGTCTCTTCCACATGTACAAAGAGCAGCCACACAGTGATTTCTATTGTGGGTGGCTTCAGACCTCTTCTTTAGAGCTATTTAGAAATCCTGGAACTGTGTGGGGAGATCGTTTTTTAAATGTACCATTGTTCAACTGAAACAGCAAAAAGAGAAACACACAGAAAAAATTCAGTCACCCTGGCCGGAGTGGCTCAGTGGTTGGCTGTCAGCCGGTGCACCAGGAGGTTCTGGTTCAATTCCAGTCAGGGCTCATGCCTGGGTTATAGGCTCAATCCCCACTAGGGGGCGTGCAGGAGGCAGCCAACTGATGTTTCTCTCACCTTCTCCCTTCCTCAATCTCAAAAAAAAAAAAATCGATAAACCATTAAAAAAATTTTTTTCACTCATTGGTATTCCTGCAGACCTATCTAGCAAAAGGTCTTTCCTAGACAGAGTGCAGAGATTAAGAGCATGGGCTCCGGACTCAAAAAAACCTGAGCTCCAGTTCTGCCTGCACCACTCACTAACCCCATGACCTTGGGCTGTTTACCTAATCTGCCTCAGTTTTCTGACCTGTAAAATTAGGTTAACCAAAGTACTTATGTAAAAAAAATCAGCACATACAAGGACTCTACACAGTGTGATTATTATTACAATAACCTGTCTTTTTTCCTCCACCCTAGAGCCCAGAATGCACTTCTTTCACCCATCCTGGTTTTGCATATTCAAACCAAATGAACCCAGTGAATTCCATACAGAATACTTGTAAAATTCTCTTCTTTACGTTGAACAGATTTCTGTACTCTTTGTCACTGTTCTTTATGTAATATTCAAGAATAAATGTCCAACTTGAAAAAAAAGAACATTTATGTTAATGCTGCTAGAGAAACTGAAGAGAAAGCAATCGAAGCGAGTTGCAGCTCTAGTCATTGTTTTCATTGTGCAGGAGGCAGAAGAGACCACAGGCAACAATGAGCAGGCAGGGATGTGGGCCTGACCATCGGAAATTCTGAAATTATTCATGTAATCTCTCCTTCCCCACTTATCAGCTATTCACAGCTAAAAATGGGGGCAGAGAGGGAATCTTAAGTTTGTCCTGGCTGCCACTGTGCTCAGAAGTAACCTGAACTTAGGAACATATCCCCAACCCCCCACCCCTCCCAGTAAAGTCTCTGAAAGCTTGATAAGAAATGATGTGACTGTATATGCATATCTTTAAAAAAATAATTCTCAGCAGTCCTTTATCTCTGTCTCTGTCTCTCTGTTCTCACTGCAGCTCCTTCTGGTCCTGCCAATTTGGCCCCGGGAGATATTTCTTAGAGAAAACACACACGTGCATATTCCCCTTAAAATTTGGTGGGAAAATCATGTTGTGGGAGGAGTGGGGAGAGAGACGATGGCCCAGAATGGATAACTGAGTCAATTTTATCTCTGGTTTCTCAAGATAACCTCCATCCCAAATATTCTGCCTTCTTCGTCCCACACTTGATTGGAGCAAAAATTTGTTTTTGTTTTGTTTTTTCTCCAGAATATAGTTACCATACTTAGAGATATACAAAATCCTTTACAGCCCAAGGACTGACCTGGTTCTGTGTGTTATTAATCAATGAAAACTGCACCTCATATTTTTTTCCCCAAGCAGTAAGGACGAGATCATTTGCTTCCTGACTTGGTGCCTTTCCTTCTGATTGTTGCAGATTCCATGTTTGATGGGGTGACTGACAAGCCAATCTTAGACTGTTGTGCCTGTGGGACTGCCAAGTACAGACTCACGTTCTATGGGAACTGGTCTGAGAAGACACACCCAAAGGATTACCCTCGTGAGTAGAGCAGCTACATTGTGAGCTGGGAAAAGCGCATTACAAAGTTCTGTCTAGTTGTGGGACACACTAACTGAAGTATGTTAGGTCTGCTCACTCTTGCCAAATGATTCATAAAATGCACATTCCCCACAAGTGAGTTCATCAAGATAGTGGCATGCTTCTAGCTTCTTTGCATAGCATTGTTCTAAGTGTTTTCTTATCTGTGAGTTATCTTCAGACCTGTGGTAACCTCAGTCCTCCCCAAATGGCTCTATTTCTGAATTATAGAATAGACATCTTTGTGCTTGAAATAGCTGGCAAAAGGGACCTGCTCCTGACTCCAAAGACCAAGGTCAACAAATACTCAACATCCTTAACCACAGCAGGCATTGGCAGTCTGCCAGCTCACCCTTTCCTTATTGACTCCAGATACCACCTTAGAACCCTTCCTTCATGACACTGGGCTCCAGATAGACAGCAATCCATGAGACTTGTCAGGAGACCCCGAATTTGCTACTTTAGTGTAGATCCTCAGCTGGGACTCTACCAACTCACTTTTATCACATAGCAGTCTCAACAAATGCCTAACCTGTGCCAGGCGCTGTGCAAAACTCTAGAGATGGAGTGTCCAAAAACAGAACACAGCTTCTGTTCTCGGAATACTTGAGATTAGTGGGGAGGTAGACACTAATCAAATAATCACACAAAAAGATGTGAAAATTATGATGCTGCGTAGTGGACTTACTGTGTGCCATTTACACATTACATCATTTAATGATCAAAATAACCTGTTTTTGTGGATGAGCTCACTGAAGATCAGAGAAATGTCATGATTTGCCCACAGTCCAATGTAAGTAGTGGATCCAAGATTCCAAAAGGGGTTTTCAGGCCCCTTGCCCTGCCTTTCATTTGGATTGCCAATGTCGCCCATTCTCTCTAACTGTGGATGGCAGGATGTCCATGTGTGACATTGAGCACATGTTTTCTGTCCATTGTTTTATTCTTGTTCATTTCACTTTGGAGTTGCCACCACTGGGAAAGAACAGTGGGATTGGGAGAAAGAGATTAAAAAGAGGAATGTTTGCTTGGCCGGTGTGGCTCAGTGATTGAGCATCGACCCATGCACCAAGAGGTGGTTAGTTCGATTGTCAGTCAGGGCACATGCACAGGTTGTGGGCTGGATCCCCAGTGGGGGGCATGCAGGAGGCAGCCAATCAATGTTCTCTCTCATCCATGTTTCTATCTCTCTCTCCCTCTCCCTTTCTCTTTCTCTAAAAATCAATAAAGAAAACAAAAATATATGTGTGTGTGTGTGTGTGTATATATATATACATATACATACATATATATATACATATACATATATATATATGAAGGATTTAAGTCAGCCCCAAAGGAAGGGGGAGCAAAGGGTACATGGTTAAAATTTAAAACAACTAAGTTCAGACTAGAACCTTCGTGGTCCCCAAACAGCCCACCCAGAGGGCACTCTAACATTTCTTGGCAGATCCAGAGCCCTATTGTTTAACTTCACCCACATGTAATTAAGGCTTGGGATCTCAGAAGCCTCTTATAGTTCATTCTCCTGACTCTGGGATTCAGTTTGATCTGCTTCAGCTGGTGTGGGCTCTTTGCCTGGGGGTGGAAACCACTTGGAATAAGCATGAAGGAAAAAATTTCCTCCAGTGCCTCCCATCCACCAACCCAGAGAAAATAAAATGTGAGGGGCCCATTACTCATCTTTTGTAATCCTGATGGGCCTCTTGCTTTTTAAATTTAAAAAGGTACAGACCATTGTTTCTGGGTCTTTCGGACAAATCTGTACCGAATTTCTGTGGAGTTGTCGGGAATTTCTTAATAAATGTAGCAGACGTGTTCCAGATCCCTCAGGATGGTTCCATGGACAGATGTCAGAGTGTGTTTTCGTTTTTGGTTGGAAAAATTTGGTCACTATGTACAGAAGAGCATTTATCACATCATACTGTAATTATTTCTTCGGGAGTCTTTCTTCCCATCAGACAAAGGAGTTCTCCAGGACAAAAGCCATGGCGTGCTCATTGTTTATAGTCAGTGCCTGGAAGCGCCTGGTGCTTTCCCAAGAACTGTGTACTGATTGTTGAACTCGGCGCGGTACTCGCCATGACTCGGGAGGCAGATTCCTAGCACATGTTTAGTCACCGTAGCCAGTACTGAGCAGGGGCTGTGGACCAGACCCTCCTTGGAGGGAAAGGGGTGGACTTGTATACTCAGGGGACTGGAGCCAATTGGAAGGGCACAGAGAAGATCCAATCAGAACTTTAAAAATGTGATATTCTCAAAAGCGATTTCAACCAATCTTAGATCACTGATGACTTTCCTTTCGTCTACCCAGGAATGATTTAGTCTTGATAACCAATGCTTGCCATTAAGCCCAATTAAGCCATGATGATTCCCGACAATAGTGCAACTTAATAAATGCTTAGGCTCCCTCTTCTCATTGATTACTCATCCAACACACTATTTTCTCTGCAAGGACCTTGGAGCAGCCGTTCTCAAGCTTTTTTATTGCAAGGCGCCTTTTACATACTTAAAAATTATTGAGAACTCCAGCATACTTTTGTTTATGTGGGTTGTATCTCTTAGTATTCACCATATAAAAAATTAAAACAGAAATTTAAAGATATTACTTAACTTTTAAAAAGTAACAAAGAATTAGCCATAATAAACTTATTACATTACCATTTATATGAAAATGACTGTATTATCCAAAACAAAAGAAATGTAGTGAAAAAGCATCATTTCTTTACATTTTTGCAAATCTCTTTAATATCTCTGGCTTAATAGAAGACACCTGGAGTCTCATCTTCGCCTCTGCATTTAACCTCTCATGGTTTATTTTTTTAGTTGAAATATATATGAAGAACCTTTTATCTCATACAAATATGTAATTGGAAAAGGGAAGAATATTTTAATAACCTTTTCAGATAATTACAGATAATCTTTGTTGATACTACACCAAAATGATACAGTAGTCCCCCTTATCTGCAGGGAATATGGTCCAAGACCCCCAGGGAATGCCTGAAATTGCAGATAGTACCGAACCCTATATATACTATGTTTTTTCCTGTACATACATACCTATGATAAAGTTTAATGCCTTTTCCATCAGCACTCATTGTGCACTGTGGGCGTAGCTTTTGTGATTTAAGGTAGGATAGGAAAACTAGCGTGAATTTATTTTTCCTTCTTCATGATTTCATTGACAGAAGATTTATTCTTAGAGTAAATCTTAGCAACCTCAGCATACCATTTTTTTCCTTGTTAAGTTTAAAACTTTCACTTAAAGGAAGCATTTTATGCCTTCTTTTTGGCATATACGAATTGCATCACTACTCTAGTGATTTTTGGCCAATATTAAGTAAAATAAGGATTACCTGAGCACAAGTATTGCAACACTGCAACAGTCCATCTGATAACTGGCACAGTTTTAAATGACTAATGAGCAGGTAATGCATACAGTAGGCAAAGGGATGATTCACTTCCAGGGCAAGACAGCAGGAGATTTCATCACACTGCTCACAGTGTGTGCAATTTAAAACTTATGAATTGTTTATTTCTGGAATTTTTTAATTTAATATTTTCAGACCTTGATTGACCTCAGGAAACTGAAACCATGGAGAGCAAAACCTCAGATAAGGGGGGGTGGGGGGGGCGGGGACTACTCTACTTTCTTAAAGGATAATTACAACGTAGAATATTAAACTATGTTATGAACTTGTATACTGTAACATTAAAATGGATTGCTTTCCTTTGCACTGTGAGTGGATCTTTTACAAATGAATGATTTTGTACCACCATACATTGGTCATTTGGAAAATATTGGTTTACTGAGTTATGCAGATGATCCAAATGTTGAGACATTTCATTATACAATATCAAAAATCACATTCATTATATCACTTTAAGTCTCATCAGAACAGGGTTTGAATATTGGACAGCTATAAAATGCATAGTGACAGGTACAAGTTTTCTAAAATTCTAAGTTTTGCTTGAGAGCTCAAATTTGATCATTGGTAGCAAATGCTGTCAGGTGTGTTCCTTGCAGTGACAGGCTCATCTCATCTGTGAGAAAGTGTCTGTCAGAGTCTCAAGTCTGAATAACCATAATTTGTCAGTCCAGGTTGTACCTCAGACAATCACACAAGTGCTTTTGTTCAAGATAGTCATGGTACTTCAGCATACAGTTGAGGCGCTTTATGCGTATTTCTCAATTAGTCACACAGTATATTAAAAGATGTGTAATCAAAGGTACAGAGATTTAATAGAATTAATAGAATTAATCATTTCTATGGTCTCATCAAGGACATTCTTAAGTGGAATTGACTTTTTCGCTGGTTGTTTTCTGCAAGTTCGTAGCAGTGAAGAATACATTGACTACTGATACAGCTCAAGGCCACTGCCTTAATCTGCACTAAGTTCCAGTAGTTTTACTTATCTTGTTTTTGCACCATCAGTGTTCATGTCAACACATTGCAAAAGGCAAATAATGTCTTAGTACTAATATGAGAATCGTTTTCACCCCTCAGTGCCCCTGAAAAGGCCTCAGAGTCCCAAGGGGTCTCTGTAGTACTCTCGAAAAGTAAACCACACTTTAGGAACATCTGCAATAAGATAAGATGGCAACCTCGGGTGTCTGTCCTTCTGTCCTCTATGGATAACTTGCCCTTGAGAGTTTACATTGGACTCTCGATGGAGAATTGGGCAACACCCTTATGCCTTCAGCCATCTCCTGTGGTGGGTCACATCTGCCCATGGCCCTTCTCAACCATTACACAAAATGCTGATGTTGGAGTTCCCTCTTTTGGAGACCAGAGCACTTTCTGCATCCAATATACCCCTTCCTCTTGGAGGGGCTAGGTGTGGTGAGCTAAGGAAGGTGGCCTGGATGACTTCTGACAGTCCCCCTCTATTTAATGCCATAAATCCCTGCTGGCCATCTGGAAATAGTAAAATTCTTTTAAAACACTCCCAATTGAGTA